AGTGGTGCGCGACGAAGAAAAGAGAAGGAGGGAAGTTCATGCGGGTTTTTCGGGTTTAGTCTGAACTCACAGTTCATTGCCCAATACCCACATATAGTTCTGGCCGTAACTGCCTTTAAAACATTTTATTAGAAAGAATTGAGCATAGAAAAGAACAACTTTCCTGAAGAGGCAGGACACCTACCACTTAATGTAGGTTGAAAAGTCAGAATGTTTTAACTGTAGCCATTTAGTGACATAAGGAAGCAAAAGGCCATTTGTGTGTTGGCCACTAGTGTGTCAAATTCAGGAACCTCAAAATGTTTAGTCTCCTGTGGCGTTGGCCTCCTATTTCCTGAGGCCTTTTAATCACTTGGATCCTAACTCTAACAGAAATGTCTGTACCAACTTCCACTGCTGGAGAGTTGGGAGTTGGATTTCCTCCATTCTGAGTAAGAGGGGAAGATCCTTGGCTGCCATTCCGTAAACAGACTTGCTGAGACTCTCTGATGTGCTGTTTGTAGACTCCTCGGCGATGCTAAGAACACAGAAATTCTTTTGTAAATTGGCACTTATGGGTAAACCTGTCTCATTAAAGGCCGAAGGACACATAAGTAGGAGGCTCTGTGGCTGCTCTTTGTACTCACACCAACATAAAAATCTTCTTAAGCAAAGCATGAAAGTCTCCTCATATATGTCTTCATGTTCCTTCTATGACATCTATTTTTTTCATCATTTCCATAGAAACTGTAGCTATGAAATTACCCCAAACTTAAAGTATTTTTAAATTGTATCAGATTATGCCGAGGGAAAAAGCCATGGCAATAATCTTATTTATCAAAGTAAACCCTAATATTAGTAAACAATTTCATGATATAAAATATATTATACTTATTCATTCTTCCTCTTCGAAGACAGGAAAGAAGTTAGTACCTTCCTTTAATAATGTGGATCCTGGTACTCAAAAATTAAATGACTTACCCAAAGTCACACCAGGAGAGAAAGGACTAGAGCCAATATATTCTATTTGTATCAATTTACTTGCCAAGGAAGCTTAGTGTTCTTAATTTTAAGCTGTTCATTTATACAGATCCACAAGAACAATCAGAGCAAAGCTTTTCAGAGGTCTATCATGAAAGTAGAAAAGCATCTCATTGATTTTGTTAATAATTATACAAATTCAAACTAAAATAATTATTATATAATGCACTTGTTAAATGGATTCCAAATAAATATTAATAAAATATTTCAGTAGAGGGTAGGTTACAGTTAACATATCATTTCATTACTGTGATGGTTCTGTAAACTAAAAAATCTTTCTAAATTGTGTAATATAAATAAAAAAATTTATGATAAGAAAGTAAATCAAAATAAAATGATATAAAAATTTTAGTTATTTATAGGCATGCTATTTATAAAAACACTAAAAGATTAGAACATACCCCAATACCTTTCTAGTGCAAATGGCTTTAAAATTTAGTGTGTAAATATAATGTAAAACTAAACAGATAAAAAGCTAAAAATAATGATTATTAACTGTAGAAAGCTATATATATACTTATATGAAGTCAATTGACAGAAAAAAATAAAATGAAGTATGTATAAAATGATTTAAGAGAATTACAATGCTGTACAACATCAAATTTAATTATAGCTATGTATACATAATGACTAAGGATTTAAGAGACTATAGAAAAATATGACTAATCATTGAAACAAATATGAAGACAGTATTGGTATATAGTTTCCCTCAAAATTATGTTCATGTTTAACTTAACTATAACTTAAAGTTGATTAATTTAGGCAAGAATAAATTAAATTTATATTAGATTGGTCTACTTCCTGGCCTCGGAACATCAAACATGGGTGGTCTTTATGGAGAAATAAGTGAATAAACTGCTATCTTCAATATTCTGATTTTATTAATTAAAATAAAAACACATTGACTGAGTCCTAAGGGCAGGGTTTTCTCTGTTTTGTACAGGATGCTTTTAAGATGTTGGTTTCTACTGGTGGAACAGGAGGCAATTTGGATGACACTGTAGGTACCCTAAGGGATTTGGTTCCAAGAGGGATACACACAGCTTTCCCAATCCCTACAAAAGATAACTCTCCACACTTCTAATGTGGCCGTTCACTGGACGTATGAAAGTTCAGAAGAAATTAAAATGCTAACACATCCAGCTGGGGGCTTGAGGCCTGGGCTGAACTCTAAAATTGATATAGAACAAGGGTCTTTGAGTAAAGCTTAACTGAATTCTGATAAGAAGTAAATTACATTTTAGAGTCACCACGGATAGAGCTCATTAAAGAAAAATCATGATTAAAGTTTCTTATGAGGGAGAGCAGTCCAAAAGGCTGGTAAGAATTCCATTACTGGAATTCACCCAGGTCTTCCAAGGGAAGTGACTACGTCTCAGATTGTGTTCCTTTGTCATAGTCATAGTATAGTTATCGGGCAACCAAAGCAAACAGCTGCAGCCTGAAGAATCACAAGCTACTATGCTTGGAATGGAGATAGAAACCTGAGTCCGCACACCACAGAAACCCATAATCTAGCAACATTAGGCTTTCTTTGGTCTTATTACGCACTCAGGAGAGCAAGCGAAGCATTTAAAAAAGGAGAATGTTATGTCTGACAGGTTAAAACAATCTCCTAAAATCCAATGAATCTCACTGCACATGAAAGGTCCTCATATTCAGATATCCTAAATAGACCAGAAATCTTGTCAAAATTAATCTCAGAATAGCATTCACTTCACTACCATTCCTTGAGCAAGACAAGTGTGCTTTATAAGAATATCCTCATTTCTATTTTTTTATTTTTAAAAATCTATCTGTCCATCCATCCTCATATGAGGACATGCTCATTGATTTTAGGGAGAGGGGAAGGGAGGGAGAGAGAGAGAAGGAGAGAAACATCGATGTGAGAGAGAAACATGGAGTGGTTGCGTGTTACATGTGCCTCCACCAGGGACCAAACTTGCAACCTAGGCACGTGCCCTGACCAGGAATTGTGCCCACAAACTTTCAATTTATAGGACAAAGTTCCAACCAATTGAGACATACCAGCCAAGGTGGGACTGTCTCATTTCACATTCAAAACCTTGGGGGAAAATCCTGCAAGCACCCTTCTATATAGATGAGGCAACTGAGGCTTAGAAAGATCAAGTAAGTCTCCCAGGGAGACAAGGCATTGAATGATGGAACCAAATTCAGACCCGTGTTCTTTACATCATGTTATATTGTTTTTCCATATTGTTCATATGATTTCTTGCCCATAAAGCATAAAAGAAAAACGGAAGGAAGCTGCCACAGGAGCTTCATTAAAGTAGCAAGAATCAACAAGCAGTCCAAAAAGGGATAGGAAATGGACACAAGAGCTATAAAAACCAGCAGTCTGTGGTCGATTAATATAAGGACAAACAGCCATATACAGTTGCCTCTATAGACTCTGCTGACTTCACTGCCACAGAGTTCACTGTGATACGGTAACAACTTCATAGTGGTGTTCCGATGTGAATGCCATTGAGAATGACAGTCTGTACAATCTGTTGACAAAAGCAGGGAATTTATAATTTTCTCTTTTCAACAAAGAGTTCAAAGGGTATATTTGAAATATTCTTATTTACTACAGAAGTAAGATTTTATTCACTAGATTCCCCCGGACATGCAATTGTTCCTTCCAAATCGGTGTTTATGTTATGGACAAACTAAAACTATGTGATGTCTGCAAAAAACATGGGACTACAAGTGCCAACAAGTAAATAGAGCCCTGGCTTGGACAACGACGATAGAAGATAAGCTACTTTCTTCCTCTCTGTGTCTCTGTGTTCTCACTTCTAAAGAGAAGAGTTTAGACAAATGATCTTAAAAGTTTTTTTTCCAGCTATAACATTGTGTGGCACTATAATGAAGCTATATGTGTGTTTAAGTTGCCTTTGGGGAGAAAAAGGAAATAAAATTGAACCTAAGAAATGCAAATTATTAAATCCTGCAAGATCTTAATCTTGAAGAACTTTCAGATCTGTGCTAGAGTCTCCAGGGCTGCAATGAGTTAGAGCTGTCAGGTTATCGGAAAATGCCGATGAGGCCAGAAACTCCTGCAATAAACTTGAAACTTGGGGCTCTACAAAGTTATATATAACTCCCAACGTCTTACATCGAAAGCTTCTTTTATGTTGAAATACCTGGGTGCTGAGGGCCAAATCATGGCTCTTTTGTGGGTTTGTAAAAAAAAAAAAAGCACCACTTTTTCCACTAACAAGTGTTTTACAGGTGTATTAATATCATGCAGAAGGATGAAGAAATTTACTTCATATTAAAAACATTTCTGTTCATCCATTAAATTTCTCTGTCATACAATAGCTTACTGTACAGACTTAAATAACTTGGCTAAAATATACGATAATGTGGCTGTGAGTGTTTTTTCGTTACCCAGTAATGTTATTGAAGTATAGTTGTTGTGTTCTTAAAAAGAAAACAATTAGCAGCTCAGTCAGCATTTCCTTTAAGGTGCTCTATAATAAAGGGTTTCTCCATTTGCATCACTATAAACCTTCTGGGTATAAGTAAGAAACCTTCTGGATAGAAAAGAGCTGGTTGAAAGGGCCCAGGAGTTTGAAAGTGCATTGAAAGTCCAGAGGTCCTATAATATTCCTCAACAAATATTGACAACTTCAAATGCAGGGTGAGGCTTGATAAGAGGTGCGATGTTGCAACTTGGGAAACTCTCTGATGCTACAGGGGTAGCACGCTGGCTTGTACATGCATGCTTGAAATCCACAGGGTGACTGTCGTGCCAGCAGACCACTAACACACCTTGGCAGCCCCATCCCAACACATCTTTCTGACTTCATAGGAACACGTGGGAAAAATTAAGCTATGCCAATTGACACGCGCACATATTTTGAAGTCTGGAGTGAAGGAAAGATCTGATGGCTGCATGCTATGTAGAATGACTGGCCTTTTGCCAAAGAAGATATCTCTGCCAAGCACCTGAGGATCAAATCTGAACTTACAATGTAGCAGGGCTCACAGTAGGCTTTCTTCTCCACAGCATAGAAGGGTTGCCCTCGGAGCTTGTTGCTGCAGATGATGCACGTGAAACAATCCACATGGAAGACCTGGTCCATGGCAGTGCATCCTGTCCCTTCCCCAACCACATTTTCCCCACAGCGAGCACAGCGGCCTGAAAGAAAAAAGGGATTGACTGTTAAGAACACACCAAGGGACACTTTTGGTTCTGCTGTAGAAGACACCACAGGGCAGACAGCAGATTCGCAATGTCAGCAGCAGCAGCAATAGGACCAACACTGTCGCCATCAATACCAGGAGCAAGGTCACCGGGAGAGTGACCACTATCCTCTGGACGGCCAGCACGATGGGAATTTTACATGACTCAGTTGAGGAGTGGGCTGCCACAGCCCAAGATCCCACAGAAAAAGACAGAGGGGAACTTAAGTCTCCTGAAACCGCAGCTGGGGCCCTGACTCTGCTCTCACGTGGACGTCTAAGGAAGATGGCTCGGGATGGTAGGAGTAGGGGGCCTTGTCTAGGAAAGCCTTACTCTTTTTTGGAGAGTCTAGGTGTCCAGTTAGACTATGAGGGAACAGGGTCCAAACTCAAATTTGAACTCCTTTTACGAAAGCCCTGGTCATGAAACCTTTGCATCCAGCTCTCCATGACAGGCAGATCACAAGGCAGTTCCTTTTATTTCCAGCCCACTCTGACTGCTAGTAAGTTCCTCTCATATTGAGCTGGATTGCTTTCTCACTCTAGTTGCTACCCAATGGTTCTAATTCTGTCTTCTGGGGATTCATGAAACAACTCTCCTCTCTCATACTCAACAATCTTTAAATTATTGCAGCTCAGTTAGCATTGCCTCCATGTCTATTCTTAGTTTGAACACCCTTCAATTCTGCAACAGTTCCACATACTGTAGGGTTGGAGTCCCTCATGGCCCTGGGTTCTGCTGACTTTCAATATTCTTTCATTGATTCGTGGGCATCTGGACCACATATGGATATCAGGTTTTGCTTTAAAAAATTCACATTAAGTTTTACATAACAATAAAACATAATTTAAGAAAAATATTTATGTCGGTGAGAGGCATTGTGCTGGTTGCAATATGTATCTATATCTGCTCTGTTGTGGGAATGTTGAGTCAGAGATCAGATCCACATCCAGCTTCCCTTCTTATTCTTTACTTCTGCTAAGTAATTACAGGTCATTGGGGATGTCAGCAAGAATCTGTAGGTTTCTACAGATAAACTATTACAAACCTAGTGCTTCATATGTGTCAGGCATTTTCGAGGTGCTTTTTATATATTAACTCATTTCATATTCACAACAACCTATGTGATAGGTACTGTTATTCCTATTTTACAAATAAGGAAACCGAGTCACAAAAATGGTTAACTAACTTCAAACTCAAGCAGTCTAGTTTGAGCATCTCTGGACTTAACCACTCTGCAATCTTGCTTCTTCCTGGCTCTGGGCATCAGGATTGGACACAGCCCTCCATCACATTGGATTGACAACCACTTCACACCTAAAAATGGGAGGGCTAAATGTTTCAACTTGTGAGAAAGAGGCAAATATATTTCTAATCCTCTGTAGTTGTAGTTGGCCCTGAAAAGTATTGTTTTTATACTCTGTTGCAGGATTTGAATGTCTTTACAGTATAACCCATCATTTCCTCCCCTAAGGAATAAGAAATATCAGACACTAGAAGAAGAGTCATTTCCACGGTAACTGATATATTATAAAGTAAATATGTTCTCAACATTTGATCAAAAGAGTGTGGCTTAATTTGCAAACTTCTATCCAAGAGTTAACTTTTATCTGTTTTCATTATAAGATGTATAACCTTAGAAAGTCATGTTTAACATTTTGGATATGCATTGTTTTTAGCAACCAAAGTAGGTTATTTCATATGGCACTATTTTTGTGATTGTTCAGAAAAAAACAAAACAAACCACTTAATTGGTTTACTAGAAAGTTCACTGAGGTGTGCTTGAAAATGACGCAAAAATTCTGAGAGCTTCATAATATTATTTGACAACATTTCATTACAGAAAACATATTGGGGATTATAGGCAATGCATAAAGTTTAATTTTTAAAAAGTCATCATCATACTTAGTACTTAAACTTTTCTTTTTCAACTGCTTGGGCAGAATCATCAAATTCACCCCACGATACACAGATTTATTTCCTATATATACATATAGGAGCCTGTTCTTTAAAATTTATATTTGTAATATTAATCTGAAGGAGTATGTATGTTATTATATTGACTACTATTTTTTTCCACTTTCAATGAGTCATATTCAAATCACCGATCCCTTTTGGTTGATATGAATAAATAATGCAATACAATAGTAATAATGAAAAATGTAGGTTTAACAGCAACAGAAAAAATCATACCAACTACACGAAAATACTCTGCGCTGAATGGCACTGTTACTGCACATTGACCAAACACCATTCAACAGAGGTTACGTGGTACATGTGAAATATTTAAGAATGTGATGATTATTAAGAGTAAGCTAGATTCCTGAGAAAAGTATCATTTTAAAATTTCAAATTTAACTAATTTTAAATTTGTCAAATCCAGAACAACAAAATTATTTTTACTTATTACTCTTTCCCTTTCTAGATGCCAAGCCAGATTCCTTGATAGTCCATCAGGGACTTCCAGTGATCTGTGTACTACACTTTGGGGAAAAAAATAGTTTTGACCAAATGTTATTGATTATTGGTCATTCTGGTCTACGAGGTACATAGAAGTAGCAATTAGGATCCAGATGACAGCTGGCCCAAGTGTCGTATCTGGAATCCAAGAGTCTGAGCCTACATGGCTAAAGGAGAGTTTGAGAACCTGGGGGTAGTTTTCAATCACTGATTAGATGGAAAAATCACAGTAGAGCCGTAAAGGTCAAGATGAAAAGATAAGTGTTGGAATTCACATTTTATTCAAGACATTCCTAGGTACCTACTCTTTGTGCAGTACTGTATTTGGCTTCTGTGTGGCATACAGAAATGATTAGACACATCAGTACCTTTTAGTCATTACGAGACTACAATCACATGAGAAAGTGTCACATGACAAAATGCAATGGAAATGTGGAAGGAAAATCACAACAGAGAAGGCTCCGGAAAGTTTCTGTGGAAAAAGAGGCATTTGAGCCCAACCTTAAAGGATGGAATTTTGACAGGTGGGAATGGAAGAGAGAAAAAAAACAAACCCTAAAACTCATTTTTCTGAAGGCTTATTGAATCCAAAAACACTGTAGTGATTTGGTGCTGGCAAAAGAGTTTGTCTTAGCTATGAAAGCAGATAAATTATGTTCATAAGGAACAATATTCCTTTATATTTTGGAGAAGATTCTTCCAGAATGGGTCAGACTAATATGCTGGTCTCAGACATGACCCGCTCTTCTACCTCCTGTATTTTTCCTATTCTTGTGAGAAATCAGGGACACTAGGCTCGAGGGTAGTCTGGCACCTTTAAAAAAATCACAAGCACAGAAAAAGAGCAAAGAACAAAAATTAAAAATAGCCCTGCACATCAACAGGACAGTAAAGGTGCCCGAATGTTCCCTTTTTCACATTAACAAGAACTTACAAACTATATGCCTTTTCGGGAGGCATTCCGAATGGAAAGAATGTTACTCAAGCATAGGGCATCCTTGCCCCTGCGGGGGCTAACACTGCACACCATTGAAAGCAAGCTCTACTCTCAATGTTCTCCTTTTAGACAAGCATCTCAGCCCTTTCAAATGAGGGAAACAAGGGGAATGGTACCAGACTTACAGGCATCAGGGCATGAGGAAACGCAGTTGATTAGGAGCTGGAGGGAATCCCAGGGTCAAGTTGAAATGCAGGGCTGGGATGAAGAGCTTGTTGGCAACGCTTAGCACAGTAACTTAAAAAAAAAATCCAAGGACAGAGAGAGGATCAGGCAGCCTGGGGAGAACTTTGTCAGTGAATTAAGACACCTAACAACAACAACAACAAAGAGCTAGTTTATATATTATTGCGTGTTATATATGTTGCTTTATGTCAACTGTGGAGACAGTTGTGAATCTTTCTCACCCCCTACTCCCCCTTTTCCTTTCAACTATAGTAACCTCTGCAAGGCCTCTGAAATACTTCCTTCCCACACATGCCTGCTACCTAAATCGGGCTTCATTATCTTTCATGGGCCCTGGAAATCACTTCCTGATTGTTCCACTATCTCTGATTTACTTCCTCTTACAAACGGAAAGCCTTTATGGAAGTCTTACTACTTGAGCAAGGCTGGACAATTACACAGTTTTTGAACAAGTCATTTTTACAAATGGCATGGGTTGGGGATAACATTATAGGCCAATCAACACATTGAGCCAAGGAGGCAGAACAATGGGATATAAGTTTTCATATTTCAAGGTTCTAGCTTTCTCTTTTCATAATGTGAATTTATATAGTTCCTTTATAATATGAAAATAAAATGTTATTTAAAGATACTTTTCCTGGGATCGCTACACCAATAGGCCACAGACTCTCTTTTGCAAACAATGTTTGTTTTGGAGGTGGGGCCAAAAATGTCCAAAGCCATTCGAAGAGTTGGTGCCACGGTGATCAGCAATGACGTACTCCCAAACTTGTACGTTACTCAATATCAAAAATAAAATAATAAATGTATGCAGAAATCAAGCCAGGTCACATTTGTCTTCATGTTCTCCTTGCTACTTGACTTACAATGAAAATTTCAGGCACAAGCAAAATTAATAACCTATCTTTAAATATTATTAAGAATTGAAACTTTATATGCCAATTATACGATGGATCAGCTTTCTCATTGGACATCTTCTAAAATACATTCTGAACAAAGTCCTGTTCCAAAAGTTGAGTCAGTAAGTTTATATCAGGGTAGTGAAATGATGTCAAGTATACCTAGAAACGAAGCCTGCCCCAATTTATTGTGCATATATATGTTTGTCCAGAACATATCCAGCCATGTAATAAGAAAAACAGAGACATTTATCGAAGAAGATACAAAATAGAAGAAACATTGTACATAGGACAATGACACCTCAATCCCCTTCAAAACAGGTACCTTGGGGCCTCACACAGTTCTCCCAGTGTCTCTTCTACTGTTCAAAACCTTCTGCATAATCCTATGTTGGAATTTCCATCAATTGCCT